TTTATTTGTGTACTGTATACTTTTTTAAAAAAATGTTTTAACATATATTACAATTTAGTGTTTAAATGTTTCTCTAAATGCCTGTCTGTATAGCACACAATTTCCTATTGCTAGTGTAGACCAGAGGCAGAAATATAATCCTCTTCAAATGGAGTTACAATCTAGGTGCAAGAAATTCATCCCAATTCTACAAGAGGAGCAGCCAATGCTCAAAAAAATTGAGTTATCATTCCAGACACTCAAAACTTCAATTAGACTGGCTTATCCTAGAAGAACCATTGGGTGAAGCAAATGTGAATTTAAAGAAACTCATATTTAAAGGAAATCCAAAAGCTTAAAACATTCAGCAGTTCATGAAATATTCTTGGGAATTGGTTGCTTTTTGGGAAAAGCATGGGGACTCTTTATTCATCTTTATACCCCTGAAAGTTACTTTGTATCACTTTATTTCAGATATTGTTTTCTGTTTGGCAAATGATTTAAATTGTTTAAACTAAAACCAACCATGATTTACTGTGAATCCTCTTCTAAGGATGGTTAATTCAAATTACACATATTCTCTAGAATGATTCAAACAGCACTCACCCAAAAGTGAAGGTTTTGTCCTGCTGCAGTTACTAATTATCCAAAACTGCTTTCTGAAGGACACATAGCCACACACCATCAGAAGAATCTGTGAGGTGAACTTCAAAAGGTAATAAGATATTAAGGTTATATTGTTCCCCAGTAAAGCCAGCATCTGAGCTGGATTGTGATCCTGCACTGTGTTTAGATACAGATAATGTGAATTTAATTAATGTCTTAGTTGGATTGACATAGAAAAGTTTGTTTCTATAACTGTACTTACTTGACCTGGACAAATTAAGAGTAACTGCACACAAATATCCTTTGTGCATCGCGTGCCAACTATTTATATCAGGCATTGGAGAGTGCAGTATCCCAGGCATCACAGCCATTGTTATTATTATTATTATTATTATTACTATTATTATTATTGCTTTTGTTTTGATGTCATAGTTAGTATAATAACAATTTTATTATTATTAACTTAGCTTTTCAGCAGAGATTTTCTATGAATTCTTGACTTACCTAGTACTCTATTTGCAGGTCGGTGTGGCCTCACACTCACAAGTTCAACTGCGTCTTCCTGTTATCTGTTGGGATTCATGACAAGCAGCTGCTTTGCGTTCTCCCATTTGATTCTTTACCTAAGCAACTTTTCATGGCCTCTAGCAATGTTCACCAGATTAGCTAGTGTGTTCACTCTGATGAAGAGAGTCCAAAATATTTGTCTTCATTCCCAGAGCTTGTTTGACAAGTCAGATCCAGGTCCCTCTCACTTTCCTTTCCCTCCTCCCGTGCCCTCCCCCCCAACCTCCCCATTATCCCTTCATTCACCCAGGGAGGGTGAACCCCTCCATGGTGGTGTCCGTAATCTGTCATTTCATATAGGGCAGGGCCTAGACCCTTCCCCAAGATTTCAGGGTGAGAGTGCACCTCACTTTATTTTATGGGAGTCTAAAGTCCGTGTGTATACTTGGGATGGGTACTGATCTTCTACCCAAGGCTCAATAGATTACCTAGGCCTCCTCACTGACACCCAGATTCAGGGGTCTTGATCATTCCCAAGCTGGATTCCAAGGCTGATGCCTGGGATTCAAGAGTTAACCTTTGTCTGGTCAGCTGTTTCTGGGGGTTAAACCAGCCAAGTCTTAATCCCTTTGATCATCAGTCCTCCCTCTCTGTTACTGGCTTTCTTGAGTTCAGCTCAGCACTTAACCAAGGGAGTCTGACTCTTCTTCGATCAGCCGCTAAATGAAGTTTCTGTTTCCCAGACTCTCAGGCCATAGGATTGTAGGCTGGCTCTCCACAAATCTATGTCTAAAATCCATATATGAGAGAGTACATGCCATGTTTCTCTTTTTGTGACTAGGTTACCTCACTCAGGATGGTTTCTTCTAGTGTCGTCCATTTGCCTGCGAATCTCATGATTCCATTACTTTATTCTGCTGAATAGTACTCCATTGTGTAGATATACCAGATTTTCTCTAACCACTCTTCAGTTGAGGGGCATCTCAGGTTGCTTCCAAGTTCTGGCTATTACAAATAAAGCTTCTATGAACATAGTGGAACAGACATCTTTGTTGTATGAATGGGCCTAATAGTGGAGTTGCTGGGTCTTGTGGTAGGTTTATTCCCATTTTTCTGAGGAATCTCCATACTGATTTCCAAAGTGGCTGAACCACTTGGCACTCCCACCAGCAATGGAGGAGTGTCCCCTTTCACCACATCCTTTCCAGCATGAATTGTCATTGGTGTTTTTGATTTTAGCCATTCTGACAGGAGTGAGATGGTATCTCAGAGTTGTTTTGATTTGCATTTCCTGGATGGCTAAGGATTTTGAGCACTTTTTCAAGTGCCTCTCAGCCATTTTACTCTCCTCTATTGAAAACTTTCTATTTAGTTCTGCAGCCCACTTTTTAATTGGGCCCTTTGATGTTTTGGAGACTTGCTTCTTGAGTTCTTTGTAAATTTTGGAGATCAACCCTCTGACAGATGTGGGGTTAGTGAATATTTTTTCCCATTCTGTGGGAATGGGACCTACTGAAACTGAGAAGCTTCTGTAAGGCAAAGGACACAGTCAGCAAGACAAAAAGGCACCCCACAATTTTTGGTTTGTTCTTTCTTCCATTTCTTGCATTTTATGATTTGCTTCATTTGCATTGGAATGTTGGGGTCTTGCTGGTGTGGAGTCTCTAGAATCTGGCGGTGTCATATTTGTTTTTCTGTTGCTGAGTATGTTTTTGTATTGTCTCTTTCCCATCTCTTCTTCTTGTGGGTGCAGAAAGAGCCCCTTACTGGTCTGGGGACCAGAGTTCCCTTTTGGTGGGTGCTAGCAAGTCCAATAATCTGGTGGTTCTTCTATTCCTTGTCCAAATGCTGGTCCCCTGGGTGGAGAAGAAGAACAGGAAACTGGGGTGCTTAGCCTCCTACCTGGTCCCCTGGACCCTATGCTGGGTCCTGTTGTACCTGATCCAGAACAGCTACTCCCCTGGTCTCCCTGGTTCCTCTGGTTTCCTGGTCTCGTTGGCGGGAGAGAAGACCTGGAGTCTGAGGTGCTTGGCTCCCACCGGGATTGGGAGGTCTGTGCAGTTCCCAGGCGATCTGCAGGCACTGGAACACAGGCCGGGAAGCCGGCCTGTTTACCTGATGCTGCTGGAGTTACCGCTGCTTCCCTGGACTCCCAGCCTCCTCTCCCATCTTTCCATTTCTAATCATCAGTATTCTGTTTTAACTAGGCAATTTGAGAGGAGTTGAAAGTGGCAAAATTAACATCAGGTCCTTTTACAAAGATTTAAACCAACCTTTTGGGATTCCTACTGGAGTGGGCATTCTTGGTTTAGCAGCATCCATGACCATCAGAGGTTTAAATACCTCTCGCAAATGCTGTAACAGGTACCATTTTCCTTATTTTTTCTTTACAACAAAAACAGGTACATTCAAATTATAGGTGGAAAGTTCAATATGTCCAGGCTCCAATTCTCATGAACCAGCTGATGAGCAGCATTCAGTTTTATTTTAAATAGGGCCATTGTTCTACCCATATGGATAACTCTGATTTCCAAGTGTTTGGATTAGGCCATGGGGTGGAGGATTAGTCACAATAGCCCCAGCTAAAAGTGACACATCCTGTCCAATTTTCTGACATGTGGGTAACAGAATTTTTTGAGTGGTAATAACTTGTTGAGTGGTAAATAGTTCTGTGTGCCCCTCATTATCTCTGCTTTTGAGAGGTTCTGAGCTACACTCAGGAGCCACAGTCATATCCACTCCTTGTACTATAGCATGGCACAATGGTAACCAAGCAGTAGTAGTTCAGTTTAAAGTTAAACATGGGCAGTAATTTATTAACTGTTCTTACTTGGAATGTTTAAAGTATTTTTTCAAGATCAGACTTTTGTTTCTTCATCTTAGCACTATCACTCCATAGGGCATCTTTCAACAACCTCGAATGGGGAAAGGCAGCAATAGGAAAACATTCTGGTCTTTCATTCTGAATAGCCTTTTGGAGGTCATATTTAACTTGTTCCCAATCATGAATATTAAGTCTTCTGGAGTGTAGAAACCATGGACTTGTTTTCCCAAAGTTTAAATAGAATCTTATCTGTCTTCTGCTTAATGATGGTACCTTGTCTCTTTAACAATTCTAATAACTCTTCTATCAATACAGCCATAGAAGCTGAAGTTCCCAATTTTCTTTTATTATTTTAATTTTAAATAGCTTGCTTTTCATGTCAATCCCAGTTCCCTCTCCCTTCCCTGCTACCGCACCCCCTCAATGTATCCCCCAGCCTCCCACCCTTTTGCCACTTCCTTTCACATAGGGGATATCAAGAGTCTGTCATTTCACTCAGGCAGGTTCCAGGTACTCCCCTAAGAGTCCAGGCTGAGAGGGCATCCCTCATTTGTGTTATGGACACACAACATCCGTTTGTGTGCCAGGGATAAACACTGGATCCACTGCCCAGGGTCCCAAAGGTTGCCCAAGCCTCCTCACTGACTCTCCTCACACTAACACTTAGGGGGTCTGGATCAGTCACATGCTGGTCTCCCATCTGTTGGTGTGGGGTCCAAGAGCTCCCCCCTGTTCGGAACAGCAGTCTCTGCTGGTTTTGCCAGCCCATTCTTTGCCAATTTGCTCATCGCTCCTCTCTCTCTATAACTGGGTTCCATGGGTTAAGTTCAGTGGTTAACTGTGGGTGTTTGCCTCTGCTTCCATCAGTCACTGGATGAAGGGCCCAGGATGGATATAGACATCAAGTTCATTATCAGCAATGGGCATTCAAGGTGGTCTCTCCACTATTGATTAGCTTGCCAATTGATGTCATCCCTGGTGCTCAGTCCTCTCCCTGGCTGGTGGCCAACGTCACAGAGGCCGGAAATTATGACACTGATGAAGCCTCTAGGGTGGGGCCTCGGACAACCTGCTCTGTGGGCTGCGAGTTCTGGTGGGAAACAACAGTGGCAGCTGAGGCAGAAACCTGGGATGCAAGTAGACTGCCCGGGCATGGAGAGAGAAGGTGCGTACTAGGAATGTGTGGGGCTGATGGTGTCCCTACCAGCACTGTTCACTGGTGCTGGCCTAGGGCCAGGGCCTGAGTCTGTGGGCCTCAAAGCAGGCATCCTCCAGGATGACCAGACAGAGACAGAAGAACACCGCATAGGAAACGGAAGGCTGCCAGGTTCTCGGGGCTCTTCTGGCACGGCCAGACTGAGTTTATCCCCATCGAGCTTTGGTCCAGAATTGCTGGCTTTCCCAGGCAGACTGGAGCAGGTGGTGGCCATCCATACAGGAGTGGGTGGGGCCGGAAATAGAAGAAGCGCGCTAGGCTGAGTATGCTTGAGCAACTAATGAAACTCTGCATCTGCTTCCCGGAGTGTCCAGTCCAAAAAGTGCGTGGCACTCGGGGCTAACTTCTCTGTGTCTCCATGGCCATGCAGAGTCATAGGGCGCTAGTTCCCCCATCAGAACTGTCATGATGCTTGGGTCTGTCCGACGCTTTTAGGCACCTTTAGTGTTTAATTTTTCTTCCCTGTCAAATGGGGCACTGCCATGGACAAAGGTTTATTTCAGGCACATCGGTCTGGAAGTGAGGATGGAGTGCACAGGAGAATTGAGGTAACTTTCACATAATTAGGGGAGATGAGAGCTAAAGTATCAGAAGTGCAGAAGAAATGTGAGCAGGACAGGCGAGCGATTCAGCTACAGTGTAAGATTGAGTTCCAGTTTAGAGAATGAGAGAGAAATAAGGAAGTTAGTAAGTGGTTTGAAGTGTCAGCAGGTGAAGATGGCATGAGGTCAAAGTTGTGAAGTGCAAACCTGGTTCACTTAAGCTAATATTGGAATAGCGAACTGGGTGGATGCTTTAGGAACTCACAACGAGAAAGGTGGAAGAGGGCAAGGAGGCAGCTGAAGATGAGTGTAGAGTCACTGTAGTGCACTGTCACAGAAGCTGAGAACTCAGGGAAGTCTCAAGGAGGGAAAAGTGGGGTCAGCGACTTGGAATGACAACATGTAGTCACATTGTACCATTGAAAGACGTGAACCACAAATATTAGTTTTAAATGTTCCAACAGACATGTTTGTAAGGGTTACAAGAAACAGGTGAAATTAGCTTTAATTATTTGTTAAACCAACATGACTAAAAGTTTTATTTTAACATGTAACCATTGTAAAATAACTTGTTTTCCTTTTTAGATAGTAGGCTCATCGGTGAACAGAAGCAATATCTGATTCTACAATATCCTGGGCACATGTCACAGCTTTTCGTTGTCTAAAAGAAACCCAGTACCTCTTTGATGCAGGAAGAATTCTTTAGTTTTCATAATGCTTTGCCCAGTTCCTTGTTTAAGTTGAATAAAGCAAGAATTTAGGCAATGATATGTATCATTGGCTTACAAGTTAATTAGATTTAAGCATTCAGTTTTAATTAAAAATGTGTTCTATACATTTCCACAGAAGTTTAAGAAAGTTACTCACAATAATCATAACTTCATTACAGAGTTATTAAAATACCATTGGGTAAAAGAGCCTTTATATTTTCCAGGTTTGGTGGCACGCATTTGGAGTTCGTGTCTTATTTAATCATGTTCCTCCTTTAGATAGTATAATACAGAACAAGTTCTCTGGTTTTATTTTATTCATTTCCTTATTCTACTTGTTTCCCTGACACAAGTCTAGATCATTTATAAAGTATTTCTCAGAGCTTGAGATTGCTTAGTATTTGTTCAGTTTCAAATCACATATCGTTTTACACAAGTGTTTCATGTTGTCTTTATTCCTAGTTTTGGTGATGCGGAGTTACTAACAGTGATGAAAACTCACCATAATAAGAGTGTTGTTTTCCCATTAAAAATGTGTGGGTTAATCTGTTGTGATTTTTAAGTACTTATTAAATAGGCTAATAATTTTTAAAGTGCTTTCATACAGTATATTTTGATCATTAGAAGATTTTTTTGTTTTTTTTGAGAAATGATTTCTCTGTATTGTTTTGGAGGCTGTCGTGGAAATTGCTCTGTATACCAGGCTGGCTTTGAACTAACAGAGATCTACCTGTCTCTGCCTCCCGAGTCTGAGGTTAAAGGTGTGGGCCACCAATGCACAGCTCATTAGCAGATTTTTAACAGGTGCTGATTCTTAATCTTATGCAGATTAGAAACAATGTTTAGATATCTTTATGATTTTTATTTAAAATTATATTTTGAGGTTCAATACAGAGTTAACCAAGCTGACCTCGAACTGAGATACACACCTGGCTCTACTTCAAAAGTTCTGGGATTAAAGCTGTATGCCATTTTTGCCTGTTATTTTATTTATATTATGTCTGTATTTTGACTGTGTGGACCATCCCGTCCTGTGAGTCACAATTCTTATTTTGGTTTTGAGGCACTAGGAATAGGATATAAGGTTTATTAATGAGGACTGGGGGCAGAGATTCTGTCCAAGGGAAGCAATACATTGTCCAAAGGGACTGCGATCAGTCATACACAATCCTATATCATATTATTAAAACAATTCATAGAATAAATGAGAAAGATTGTACTCCCCCTCCTGTTTTCTTCTGTTAGGAGTCAGTTCTGCGCCTTTTACTTTTATCTTTAGGGTTCATTGGTTTTTCCATTTTCCTATTTCAAGGCAGCATTTCTCAGTAGCTATGGAGCCAGTCCTTGAACTCACTCTGTCGACCTGGTCTCTAGACCAGGCTGGCCTTAAATTCAGAGATCTTCCTTGCCTCTTCCTCCCCAGTGCTTGGATTAAAGGCATGTTCTACGATTGTATCGCCCATTTTTGGTGTTTTCAGACAGGGATTCTCTTTGTAGTCCTGGCTGTCCTGGAACTCATTTTGTAGATCAGGCTGGTCTCAAACTCTGCCTCTTGAGTAATGTGATTAAAGTGTGAAACCATTGCCTGGTTAAGGATTTATATTTTTTGTTTAAGCATTAAGACTTAGTAATTTATTATAACAAGCTTAGTTGCTGGCATGATTCTCCTAATCTTTTTTGTGTGCTAGTGGTGGTATTTTGAAACTGGGTCTCACATTGTCATCCATTCTGCCATTAAACTTGTTTGTTCTACCTTAGCCTCCTGGATCACAGGTGTGAGCTACCATACTCAGTAACTTTAATTGTCATCTTACTTGTCTTGAAAATAATTTCATCTTGTTTAATGGCAAATTCTTATTTTTCTTTTTAAGAAATGATGCTTTGTGTTGAGCTGGAAGAGAGTACAAGGTGCTTCTGGAAAATTTCAAGGTACACATATTTTCTTTATTCATTGCTTCCACTTTAACCTGCTTTCATAAGTCACTTAGCTTCTTTTACCTTAAATTTCCTATTAGAACATATTAAAAGATAATTTAGAAAGATTTTACTGAGGTTTGGGATTGAAAGACCAAATGTTGAAACAAAAATGAGGTAGAAGAGGAAAATTTAATACATCAAACTGAACAAATCTGTTAGTTTATTCTTATGAAAAAGATTTTATAACAGCCTGTACGTTTCTGTGTGACTTTCTGCATGTGAGTTCAGTGCCCATCAAAGCTGGAAAAGATCCCTTGGAGCTGGTGTTATAGCTGCTTTCCAACTGCCTGACAAGGGTCCTTGGAATCGGCCTTCTGTTACAACTGTGTTGTGTTCTTAATTGCTATGCTCTCTCTAATTCTGCCACTAGCTCTTGCATGTTTAATGCCCTTTTAGTATGAAAGGAAGGCTTTCTGGCCCAGTTGAATTGGTTAGAACTCAGGAACAGAAGAAAGATAGCATATGACTTATCCATTATTGAGATTTAGGTATTTATTAGTTTGCTTTGGTTTTTCAAGTCAGGGTTTCACTGTGTACTTTTGGAGCTTGTCCTGTAACTCACTCTATAGACAAGACTGGCCTTGAACTCACAAGGATCTGCTTGGCTCTGCCTCCTGAGTGCTAGGATCAAAGGTGTAGGTCAACACTGTCCATCAAGATCATTTATTTTTAATTTGTATATGTGAATATGTGCCTATATATATGCACCTCCTGTTTTCAGTTTTGCAAACACCATAAGACAGTGTCAAATTCCCTGAACCTGCTGTTCTAGATGATTATGAGCTGCTAATGGGTGTGGTGGGAATTTATCTGGGTCCCCTGCAATGACAAGCATCTCTTTTGAGACAGGGTTTATCTGTGTGTAGTCCTGGCTACACTGGACCTCATTTTGCAGAGATACGCTTGTCTCTGCTTCCCAAGTGCTTGCATTAAAGCCATGTACTCCCACTACCCAGCTTTAGCATGGTTGATTTGTGTTTTAGTTCTTAACTTTGTTCGACTTTATTTAGAGTCTGTTGCTAAACTTGGAGTTTGAAGATTCTACTTAGTGTAGCTAGCCAGCTTGGCCAGGTTTTCCCTATGTTTTCCTCTGGGGTGCTGGGATTACTAGAGTTTGCTGTGTTATATCTACTCTTGTGTTAGTACTTGGTATCCATTTTTTTGTTTTGGTTTTCAATACAGGGTTTCTCTGTACTCTTTTGGAGGCTGTCCTGGAATTCCCTCTATAGACCAGGCTGGCTTTGAACTCACAGAGATTGGCCTGCCTCTGTCTCCTCTGTTCTGACATTAAAGGCATCAGCCTCCACTAGGTACTAGGTATCCTAACTGTGGTCCTCACAATTCTATGGCAGCTGCTTCCCAGCCACAAAGACCTAATACTTTTGAAGTAAATTATCTTTCATTCTAGACAGAAACACTGTTTAACTCCCTGTCCCTCTTTCTCCTTTTGGTACAATGGATTAAATATGGTGCTTCATATATGCAATTGTTAGTACCTCGTCTTGATTTAGAAATATCTTTATTATGGATAATTTACATATGTATAAAATTGAGATGGAGCAACAACTCCAAGGATATCACCATACAATTTTAATAATTATCAGTCATCATACAACTTTAATAATTATCAGTTTAAGGTCAGTCATTTCACTGGTCATTTTGTTGTGTCTGTCTATATATATATATATATATATACTATCATCTATCTATCTATCTATCTATCTATCTATCTATCTATCTAATCTTTTTCTCTTTGTAGCCCTGGCTGTCCTTGAACTCTGTAGCATGGTCTGAAATTCTCCCTGATCTGCCTAAAGGAGTGTACCACAATGCCTGGCTATTTCTCTTTCTATATTTTAGTATAAATTCTGAATCATAAAAATTTTGTTTTGTTCCTTTTCCTTTTTGGGAAAAATGGTGCTATAGGAAAAATATCCAAAATAAATTCATAATACCTAAAAATACTGGGTGTTTTTCCTAATATAGAAAAATAATGGTCATGTTGTCCAGATAATAGTTAAGTGTTTGTTTATGGTTCTCTATCGTTAGATTTTAAATGTTTATTTCATTCATTGTCTGTATGAAATTTCTAAATTGGGAATTTCTACTGTCTTTTGAAAGCTATTGTACTCTTCATTTGCTCTTAGTTAAATAATGTTCTTAATTTCAATTTTTCTCCCTTCCTCTTGTTTTTTTATTTACATACACACACACACACACAGTTGGTTTACAGATGTTAAATGTGAAATGGTTATTAGAGGGCTAAAGACAGGATTGGAGTAATGACATCAGTACCCTCATGAGTAATGTCTTTAGTCCTTTTACTTTGCTGTATTTTTACTTTTTATTATAATTTTTTTATTTTATTTTCCAGTTTAAATTTAGATAAGAAACAAGGTTGCTTCACAAGTCAGATCCAGGTCCCTCTCCCTTTCCATCCCCTCCTCCCGTGCCCTCTCCCCTATCCCCCTCCCCGTTATCCCTCATTCCCCCAGGGAGGATGAGGCCCTCCATGGGGGTGTCCCTAGTCTGTCATTTCATTTAGGGCAGGGCCTAGACCCTTCCCAAGAGTTCAGGGTGAGAGTGCACCTCACATTATTCTATGGGAGTCCAAAGTCCGTGTGTATACTTGGGATGGGTACTGATCTGCTGCCCAAGGGTCAATAGATTCCCTAGGCCTCCTCACTGACACCCAGATTCAGGGGGTCTTGATCAGTCCCATGCTGGATTCCCAGGCTGATGCCTGGGATTCAAGAGTTAACCTTTGTCTGGTCAGCTGTTTCTGGGGTTAAACCAGCCCAGTCTTAATCATCAGTCCTCCCTCTTTGTTACTGGCTTTCTTGCGTTCAGCTCAGTACTTAACCAAGGGAGTCTGCCTCTTCTTCGATCAGCCGCTAAATGAAGTTTCTGTTTCCTAGACTCTCTGGCCATAGGATTGTAGGCTGGCACTCCCCAGATCTATGTCTAAAATCCATATATGAGAGAGTACATGCCATGTTTCTCTTTTTGTGACTGGGTTACCGCAATCAGAATGGTTTCTTCTAGTGTCATCCATTTGCCTGTGAATCTCATGATTCCATTACTTTTTCTGCTGAATAGTACTCCATTGTGTAGATGTACCACATTTTCTGTATCCACTCTTCGGTTGAGGGACATCTAGGTTGCTTCCAAGTTCTGTCTATTACAAATAAAGTTGCTATGAACATAGTGGAACAGACATCTTTGTTGTATAAATGGGCATCTTTATCACAATTTTTTATTGCTACCTATGGATTTTGTGAGTACAAAGAGCCCAAATCTACCCTCTCAAGTTATTACATGATCTTCAGATTGGAGAGAAGAAGCTACTTGTCAAAGTTGATGCAAAGACAAAGGCACAATTCGATGAGTGGAAAGCAAAAAAGAAGGCTTCTAAAGGGGTATGCAATATCTTTTCTAGTCTGGGTGTGCCTGTTCAGTGCGAATACTTCATATTGCATTAAGTCTAACATGGGGACTCACGGGATCATTATTGTATTATGTGCTTATGGCTTATGCAGGAGTGTATTTTTATAGTTTGTAGATAAGTGTTTTATCTACCCAGAGAGGGTGGATGACTGTTGGTTTGCTTTTTACAGAATGGGATAAGGTAGTAAGGGAGGCTGGACAAGGTTAACTTGCCAGAGAAATCACTTGTACATACTATTCCAATCAGAGCTAATTCATTAAGTCAGCTCTGTAAGTAAGTATAAAATATATTTCAATCTGCCCAATGTTTATTAGTTACGCTCTCTTATAGAGGCACACAAATTGGGTATTAAAGTGACTAAAAATAAGTTGTACTATTTATTGTATTGGGGTGACTTTATTTATACCATTTTTTTTGTTCTTCATTCTAATTGTTACTTTAAATGAACACAAAGGAGGATTTTGTGTCTTGTGTGGTAATGTATTTATTGTCTCCTTCAAAAAACAAATCTTTAACCTGAGTATATATTTTGTTCATTTATTCTTTTGTCTTCCTTTCTGCATTCCATGAATAAAAACACTCTTTTCTCCCATCAAACTTTCATTATTTTTCAAGATAAATATTGCTTCCTTAACCCCCCTTATAAAAGCTTTGCTTATTACATTTTTATTTAAAGTTTTTATTAAAAACTCAAATTTAAGTAAATTAAGTTTTTCCACCTCTCAAGTACTTTACTCTAGATGTTTTGGCCTCATGTTCCTGAAGACATTTTCTTCTGTGTGCATGAATATGGTTTTCTGTTCCCTCCTTGTTTTTTCTGTCAGTGCTGAGGGCAGAGTCCAGGACTCCTGTATCACAGGCAAGCACTCTACCACCTCATGAGTATACCTTTAATGACAATATTTTCATTTCATAAAAGTAGGATTAAAGCGAGCTATGAGAGTACAATGCCAGAAATTGGGAGGTAAGGTAGTTGGGGCAGGAGTTCATCCTCAGTTATACAGGGAATGTGAGTCCAGTCTGGGCAATATGAGACTATCAAATATAAATAATTTTTAATAAATAGCTCTCCCTCTGCTTAGTTCTGGTTTTCTTTGAACTATTAGTACTTGAATAATTTCACTGACACTTTCTGTATACATCAAAAGGAAAAAATTACTGTTGCTGTTGGTCAGACCCAATCTTAGTGGTTTGGATTTCCTTACAAAGTACTATTTTGCATATTGTTCAAGTTTTATTGTATTGCATAGCTCTTGGAGTTTTTGTTTTGTGTTTAGAAATTTATTTTTATTTATGTGGTGGGTGACTTAGTGTGTGTGTACATATGCGCCATTTGTGTATATTTCCTATGGAAACCAGAAGGCATTATTATTTTCTAGAACTAGGTTTATAAGTAGTTGTGAGCTAACATGTGCTGGCAATTAAACTGAATGAGGTCTTTATGAAGAACAGAGCAGAAAGTGCCTTTAATTCCTGAGTTAACTTTCTAGCTGCCGTTTTGGCGTTTTTCTTTTCTTTTTTTAGATAGGATCTCACGTAGCACTGGGTTGTAGGAGTGAACCCCACAAAGCTACCCGCCCAACAGGGCGGGGTCAAGGTAGAGATAAAAGGTAGTGAAAGGAAAAGGGGCCTCCCTCTTTTTCTCCTGGAAGCCAGCCACGCTTCTAACTCCTGGTATGTGCGACTCTCTCTCTCCCTGATAAATAAATATATTGTTTTTCCCTATATAGCCTCGATTATCGCTATACCTGGTGGCAGAAGTGGTTTGGAATTACAGCCCACGCCTGGGAAACCGCCTGAATTCGGCATCCCGAGGTGAGTGCTAGTTCGCTCCAGCCGCGGCGGCTACATCGCCCGCGGCCCCGCCGCCCGCCCCAGTCGGCCGCTGCGCGTACCTGCAGCTGGACCGCGAATAGAGCAATTGGCCTCTCCACGCGGAGCTGTTTTCCCTTCCCCACAAGCCCTGCTGCCCCGCCGGCCGCTGCCGCCCAGCGCCCCCACGCTTGCTGTCCACAGCTGCCGCGTGCTGTTCGCCCGTTCGCGGACACCGCAGCAGTCTACCGCTGCGTGTACCCTGCGCGGAGACAGTCAGCCGCTGCGCGTGACCATTGGGCGTCCCCGCCACGGGCAGCAGCAGCGTACCCCGCGGGCTCAGCGCCATTGTTCCTCGGGGCCCCTGAGCGCCCCCGGCCACCGCTCTGCGCCCGGAGCTGCCCCCCCCCGCGATCGTTCTGCGCTCCTGCCGCCCGCCAAGCGCGCAGAACCGGGGACTCAGACCCCTTTGCCGCCCACCCGGCAGCGGCAAAGGGATTTCTTTTTTTTTTTTTTTTTTTAATCATTTTTTATTTTAATTTTAAATAGCTTGTTTCACATGTCAATCCCAGTTCCCTCTCCCTCCCCTCCTCCCGATTTCTTGACTGTGATCTTCAACTGCTTCAGAAAGACAATGTGGATTCACTTTCCCAACTCTGCCTGAATCGACTGGATACATCTAAACTGCCCCACATCATCGACCCCACCTGACAGGCACCATCCTGAAACCAGCTTGGAACATACATCACTCGACACATCGTCAGGCCAAGAAACTGATACAGTGCATCTTCTACAATCTGATCAGAGCTTCAGACAAGAGCTTCAATCAAAATCAGAAATCTAATCCGGAACTTCAGTCAAGCCTCTCCTGCAAAAGCGACCTATTTAAGACTCTTGTTATACTAACAATTTTTTCCCACAGGTCCCCATGATTGTCATCGTCCCACTTCAGCAGGAAGTAACTTTGAGAATTCCACGTCCCCTCTTCCTACTATTGACATAAAAGGATAGTTTACCCCTGTTAGTGTAATTTGCAATTATTTAGGGTTGGAACTGGAAGGAGGTGTTCAGACTTAGGCATCCCTTTCGGATAAGTTTAGAATTTAGGTGGAATGGATATGTTTAGTTTAGGATAAGTAGATTATAACTTAATTATCACCCTCTATGTATATATGTTGTATATGTTTGAGTTTGTATCAAATTTAAATCTTCTATTTAGACTAAAAGGGAATTGTAGGAGTGAACCCCACAAAGCTACCCGCCCAACAGGGCGGGGTCAAGGTAGAGATAAAAGGTAGTGAAAGGAAAAGGGGCCTCGCTCTTTTCTCCTGGAAGCCAGCCACGCTTCTAACTCCTGGTATGTGCGACTCTCTCTCTCCCTGATAAATAAATATATTGTTTTTCCCTATATAGCCTCGATTATCGCTATACCGGGTGGCTTACTCCTTTTGTTGTATGACTTTGAAATCTACCTTCCTCACGTGTTGGGATTACAGTCAGGTGTTATTGTGCTATTTATTGGATCTTAAGTTTTTGTTTTTTATCTTAATTTTTATTGTTTTACTCGTGTGTATAGATAAGTGTTTAGATGTGAATGTGTGCATGCAGAAGTCAGAGGACGACTCATGGAAGTTCTCCTCTATAATGTGGGTCCCAGGGATCAAACTGAGGTCATAAACCATTGTGGTAGGATCTTTGTCATGTTGAGCCATCTGGTGGCACCAACCCACAGACTACTTTCTTTTTGTTGTTACTTGATGTTTTTGGTCCTTATTGTCAATCTATGCTCATCATTAAAATTTTGTCTATTCAGCTTATAATTAACATGTCCTTTGATTCATATCATATAGCTGTTGTTTGTTAAAACTTGCTGGAGAGACAACACACTATCTACTCCAGATATGAAACCTACAACTTACCACTGAAGTTCAACTTGGTGAACCAATGAGTTTTATTGGGGTTACTTACAGGAATATGGGTGAGGGGTTTCAGAAGCAGAAATGACTCAAAGATAGGTGCATCATCATGGATTGTTCCAGCATGGGTGACAACTCAGATAAACTGTGAAAACCTGAAGTACACTGTTTTTTCTACTAGCTTTACTCCTTTCAGAGAATTCTTGCAACTCAACTTCATTCCATCTGAGAGGGATTCTCAGGTTTTTTATTCTGACAGGAGAATCGGGAGCTTCAGGGACTTCCTGAAGCTATCTTCATTTGTTAACTTTCCTACACAAGGAGCATCCCTTCAGGATGGAATGTTTAAATTTGGAAAAAAACATACACACAATAACCTTTATCATTTCTTTATTGTCTTGTCTTTAAATCCTGTCTTCCCATCCTCTTTCCCCCTACACAAATATATATGGTCTCTAATATTTACCGACCCTTGTGTCACAGCCCATCAAACTCTGTCTGCTTCTCACATTCTGTACCCTTTCCATATCTCTGATTTTCAGTAGAAGGGGAAATTATTTCACTAGCAATGTTCTTGAACCCACATTATAACCTAGGATAATGTCTTCCAAATTTATAATGGAATGTTTGCAATAGCTGACTATTTTTTATCTGGTGGAACTTCACTGCCAGTTTGTGCACCAGAGAGGATGCTAAAACCTACATATTTGCTTAAGCCATGGTGTAGACAAGACTGTTGAAGGTTCTGTACTACTATTGTTCAAGTCAAGATGTTGATGTTTCATACTGAGGAGACTTGGGTTCTGACTCTGGATTCCATGTCAGTAGTTTTGTTTCTTGGGATTATATACAAATTTCCTGGCAAGTAATAGGGTTTCATTAATTTTTCTGTATGTATGTTCTCAGAACAATTGTGTGGTGACACTTCCTTCAGAGGAAAGCCTCAGTTTCTTGAAATGATAATACAAAAAATGCTGAAATCACACACCACTTCACTGACATGATACGTAAGACACATCCCTTGACAAAATTGATTAACATTCTTAGATAGTACTGAGTATCTTGTGGTACACTGCCAGTTAGTGGATGTTGCTCACTTGACAATCTATTGACTGAAACTATGTTAAAACCAGCACAATATTCTGTTTGAAATATTATCCAGATGCAGAATTTTCTTACTAATGTACATAGTACATTTTGTCTTGTTTTGTTCTTGGGGTTTCAGATAATTATGTTTCCTCCCGAAAGTTATGTCAGACTGTATCAGGTATGTAGTAGGTATATTAAAGCAGAAGTATTTATTCTCCATACATATTTAAACTTGGACTAAGAATTGATTTATGAAGCCTCTTCCAAATACATCCCTCAAGAAGAGCAATTGTTGACATACTTATAGTGATTGGATCACAGAGAAGTGTAAATTCCTCATTTCAAGGTAGTTGAATATTCTTCTATCTTAGTGTATAACATTTTTTCATAACTAAGTAGACAGCAATTGATCACTCATTTGAATTACATATCATGTCCACACCCTGCATCTAGTAAGAATTCAGATTGGGTTGACATTTAGGGAGCGATTTGCCATCAACAATGGTGTCTCCTTGATTCTGGTTGGTATAAATATGCTTCCATGGCACAGAGAGTGTGTACTTTTTATGTTGAAAACACCAAAGATACCAACAAGGTGTCAGACTCCTCTTCAGGGTCAGTGTTTCCAGAACATCTGGTTTAATGTTGGTATGTAAATCATTTTCCAAATGCACAAGGCAATTTTTCAGCAATCCCAATATAACTATCTTCACCAGTTATCTGTGAAAGTAAATGTATGTGAGCCTGTGGTTTTCCTTTCTGTGTATTTTATTTCCATATTGAGTCTCTGCTCTCTCTCTCTCTCTCTCTCTCGTGTGTGTGTGTGTGTGTGTGTGTGTGTGTGTGTTCCAGTTCCACAAATAATACAGTACAAAAATAATAAGTTCCATTTGTGTGAGAAGGTGATGAGTATGAAAGAGGCCATAGACTGGCACAGGCCTAAAGTATGCACATATGAGAATTGGTACATTGAATACCTATGTTCTAATAATCTTCTCAAGTTGGATCATAATGCCTATTGTTGCATGTGTACAGTATTTTAGACATAGATTTCATCCATGGTTAGAAGTAAAAATATGTTAACAACTCACAGTCAGGCTTAAGTCATTTGGGGATAGCAAATATGTATATATTGTATGATATTTTGTTGGAGGTGTGAGTCTTGAGTAGTGACATGTAGTAGATTCTGGTTTCTTAAAAAGTAAAATGAGATTGTTTGTGTTCCATATAATTAACCACACATGCATGGAGCATCTAATCTTTAGCCATGTTTCTATCTCTAATTAGGGCCCTGGTACAAAATATAATTTTATCGTATGTAGGTAAGGGTGCTTCCAATGAAGCCTTGATAAAGGCTTGAGTGGTGGCCTGCTGCTTACACTAAAATCCAGAAAAAATTCTCCTGATGGCACAGGTTTCAGTCTGTAGACAAGTAGACCAAAGTGTTTTGTTGTTTAATGTCCTATTCTGTAAGATGATTCCACTGTGACAGATGTCCCGCAGTTTCTTTCTTATCGTCTCTGTAAGATTGGTTGCACTGTGTGTCACCTTTGAACCTTGGGTCAAGATGACACATGATCTTTCTGTACCAATGTCTGAGTCATAATGTTTCATAGAGAGAGTTCTAGGTTATTGATAATGGCTTTGTTTCTGAGACTTCTGGAAACTCGTGAGCTAAGACTCAGATTCTATTTCATTATTAAAACAATGGGTATGGTATCTCTAAGTTGGGGCTTTGCTACTTCCTATTGTGAAATGTCTAAGTGTTTTGGAAATGAATATCCTATACAACATGCAAAAACTAATATCAATGCAGTGTTTGAAGCTGGAGAACATATATTTGGCAAGAATTTCCTAAGATGGCATGTGACCACCTGGGGTTATTGTGGTAGGCAACTGCTGGGAGTGCTTTGCTCAGCAGAGTTCACACTGATTAGAAATAGATTAAAAG